TAAGAACTGGGCTTCTTGGTCAGTCTGATTGAAGTACCTCGTAGGAACCACCTACCAGGTGAACGGGTGAGGGAGATGGTTTAACGTGCAGAACCCACATTGAGGTAGTGACAATGCCTCCATTATCACCTCCAATGAAACCTTGCTGCGCTGGAGGAAAAGAAGGCGACTCTAAGGTGAGGAAACCAACTGCATACATACGCGTATAGCGAAGACATCCGTAGATGGCATCTACGAGCGGCTCCCACCGCAGCCAAATAGTCAGGGAGATCGGAGCGCAGCAAGGCCTCATTGGAGGTGATAATAGAGGCATTATCACTACCTCAATGTGGATTCTGCTCGTTAAGCCATCTCCCCCACCCGTTCACCTGGCAATGAGTACCTTCAAGGTACCTCTATCGGATTGACCGAGAAGCCCAGTTCTTAAATGGCCTCCAGGGAAGGAGCAGAGGATACCTACCCATGATAGATAGAGGACCGAAGTAAAAGATAGACCCCAATACCGATAGTACCCACCTACCAGAGAACAAGATATACCTACTACCTACCACAAGAAGAGAACAACCCTACAATTGGTGGCAGAGGAGACAGAGCTGCTCTAGAAGAGGACGATGTTGACGACGATATGGTAGTTCCTGTATGTTGTGGATAAGGTAGGAAATGTAGATGATGATACCGGCCTCTTGTTATCCTGCTGGCAGAAGAAGTAGTTGTAAACTACGATGACAACTTCATCACCTCGTTGTTGTGGATAGAGACCTCGTAGAGGGAACAAGCTTCTTACGCACGGTGGGTTTGGTTGAAAGAACATATGCTTTTGGTATTTAGGGGGCAGAGAAGTTTAGTGAAACGATATGACGATACAGAGTTAAATGGCTTCGTATGTGTGGGAGGTGGATAGACTGGGTTTAATGAAAAAGGTAGGTGGCAGAAAAATAAGAGTCAGGGAACGATTGTGACGACAACATCAAGCTGCTACGTCATCATGGTAGCGGAGAGGATGAGTCCAATAGGACGATATCATCGACATGTTGAGGTTTAAGATCTTCAGATGGTGGTGTTGGTGGCTAGAATGGGATTTTATGAAAAAGGGTTGTGGCGGAGGAACGACAACATATTCTTCTTCTGTTTGTGGCTAAAGACCCCATATAGAGGCAGTTGTTTAAAATGGTGGACAGTAGGGTATTCTTCTCATGAGGCCCCTCTAGAGGAAAAGGAGTTTTCTTAAAACGATACTGACGACATCAGCCTCTGACGCATTGTGGTTAAAGATCCCCTAGTAGGCTTGAAATGGGATTGGTTCCTCTAAAAGAGGAAGTGTTGGAGGATAGGTGTTGGTCTGAAAGAATTGCGGAAAATGTGGACAGATATGGTTACAGCTTGATGATGTGGGGCAGATGATATCGAGTCGCTAGAGGTTGAGGAAGGTTGGTTAGATAAGTTGCTTCTTACGCACACTGGTGGCGATGGAAACCGCATCCTATTTAGAGGAAGAGGTTGACGACATCTCCAGCTTCCGGTTCTTACGGGCAGAGGAACGATACAAACCTCTCTTGCATATTGTGGTTTAAGATCCCCTACTACTTGATATTTAGGGGCGGAGGAATAAGAGCTTGTAAAAACGATTATGACGACCATATTGAGCTTCCGGTACGGGGATTATGGAATCGGTGGACAGAATATGCAACTACGGATACTGGAGGCAGAGGAAGCAACATCCTCTAGAAAACGATGCCGAGGATGCAACTTCCGCTTCTCTTTTGGAGGCAGAGGACAACTAGTCTGATAAAACTAGGAAGACGATACGACTCCCTCATTTGTATTTTGGTGGCAGAGTCGATCGACGCTGTGATCCGTTTTAAAATTTTCTGAGACTTCGTAGAATTGTTTATTAACTTATGCTAGAAGTACACCTTCGTTGTCAGCAACTTTTACGGCAGACGTCCCACCGTTCGAGGAGAGATGCTGTTCTTTCAGCAACAGTGCAACTTTCGTTTAGGTAAAGCGGGAAAAAGGCTACGAACTCTATGAGGACTGTATGAAGCTGATCGCCTTGTCAAGTATATAATCAGCAGCACTGACAGAAAGCTCACCTTCAGGCTATGCACTTATAAACCGATTCGAACAAGAAAAACTTCCATAGCGAACCAGTGAGACACGGCTAAAATGTCTGTTTGATCATGTTGTTTGCAGTGTGCGTAAATAAACTGTTTAACGTTGTTTTTAGTCTTAAAAACACTGAATATGTGTCGTCATGATGAGCTCGATGATTCAGTATCAAAACGTATGTTAATTTTTATGACAAAAGTGTACAACGTACATCGGTCAGAAACTGCACAAATAATGCCAGTTGTCATCAAAATCAATGAGCGAGCGAGCGTCGAGCGTGGATTACCCGAAACGCACAAAAAACTACTCAAAAATTGCCAGAAAACCCTTGTTCTGAATACAGATACTAAATGCAGAATAGTGCGGAAGATCATGGATATTACAAACTAGTAGCAGACCGCAGCTAGGTGAGTGTGCTTAGGCCCCAGCTGCTGGCAAATACCCCATGAGAGAAATTGAAATAAATGAATATAATAAAAGTAAATAACAAAAACAATTATCCAAAATCCCTCAACATTACCTCATTCGTGAAAACCGTCAAAACCATGCCGCTTTTACCGGCTCTCGATGTACGACCTGCACGATGAACGTACTGCAGAAACTCCTTCGGTACGTCGTAACAAATCACGCATTCTACATCTAAGTCGACGCCTCGTGACATCAAATCGGTGCATACTATGACGCGAATCTAAAAACGAGATCAGCTTATGGACAGTAAAGTTAACAAAACTTTGATAAACAGAGATCCGGTTCAAAATTTGGAGACAAATTTGCCACAGAGGTGGCGGATATTCTGAGAAACCATAGCCAAAAAACCGAAAAAAAATTTGGGTTTGCCATTCAGAACCGTCAGAAAAAAGAACTCCAGATCAGGCACCATCTTACCTACCTTCTAAATAGCGGATCATTAAATTCTAGATCGAATATTATAATTGCTGAGTGTAGCTAAGACGAAGAAATCTCAACAGTTAAACGAAGTTAAAATCCACATTTCGCATCTTTTTATTCGCTTTAAAAGGTAAGAGGATATTTCAGAAAATCACGGCATATTTAAGCTAAATAAATACACGTAAGAGAAATTTATGGCAATAAACGCCAAAGAAGAAAAAATCTGCCTTTATTGTTGTCCGTTTTGCAGTAAACTAAAAACCTTAACATCGGTTTTCAGGTTACTTATGACTTATAGATTTGT